GGGCCGGGCGGAGCGGCGGGAGCGGAGCGGGGCCGGGCAGAGCGGAGCGGGGCCGGGCGGAGCGGCGGGAGCGGAGCCGCGCCGGGGGCGGAGCTGCTGCCGCCGCTCTGGGGCCGCCGCCCGGGCCGGGCCCGCCCGCGCCGCCGCCGCGCCACGCCCCCCCGCCGCCAGCCAATGGGAGCGCGCCGACACCGCCTCTCCCCGCCCCCTCCGCCAGCTCCGCCAATCAGCTGCGGGGGCGGGGCGGGGCCGTGCCCTCCCCGCGGCTCCCGCACCTGGGCCGGCCCCGCTCCGCTCCCCGGGACCCCGGCCGGGCCGGCTCTGCTCCGCTCCCCGGGATCCTGCCCTGCCCACACACACACAGACAGACGGGACCCTGCCCCGCTCCCCGGGACCCTGCCCCACCACCCTGCCCGGCCCGGCCCCGCCTGCGGGAGCGCCGCTCCGGCCCGCCCCGAGCCCGGCCCGGTGGCGGCTCGCACGTTTCTGCTGCCATGGCACATCTGTGCGGGAGATTACTGCCCGGGCTTAGTGGTGTGATCTGAGAGAATAAACCCGTAATCTCCTGGAAGGGCTGGATGTGGAGCGGCAGCGGGAGAAGCCGGCAGCAGAGAGGAGCTGTGGGGCCCTGTGCCAGCGCTGTGTCCCCAAAAGAGCATCGTCCCACGGACGGTGGCTGTCACCACTTCCCTCCACAGAAGATGGATGTCGCCGCACACGCAGACCCGGTGGCTTCTCCCCACGGCCGCTTCCTTCAGGAACACGCCAGGAATCCGGCCCGGGCTCGTCACCTCCTTCCCTCGGCTGGGAGCTCCCAGGAGCGAGCTGCAGCCGCACACAGCAGCCGCTGCTCCTCGTGGCTCCGTGGGATGCCAGGAACACGGGACACACGGTGGGCACGGAGCCGAGCGAGCCCGGTCCCGGTGCAGACCCCGGCATCGAGCGCAGCGCCCCGAGCGCCCCCGGCTGCGGCACGGACCGAGCGCGGTGACCTCTCCCCGCGGGCTGGGACAAACAGCCGCATTTGCGGATAATCCCCGGCTGGCTGGAATTCCCCGATTCCCGGGGGGAAGCCGAGCTCCCCGCTCCCACCGAGCGTTCCCGTCAGCTCCGCCGGGGCCCGGGCGAGCTCCGGGAGCCCGGTCCCGCACAGAACTCGGGCTCCAGCCCACGCCCGATGGGGAAAAGTTCATCAACCTGTGCTTTCCAACGGGTGGGTGCGGGCACAGGAACCTGACACCAGCTCAACCTTTTGTCTCTGTGTTTTTAATCCTCTAAAGCACGATTCTCTCCATCCCCACACCACAGCCTAATTCGGGCTGAGTCACCGCCTTCAAATATGGTTTGTGAGCCACATTTTTTTGGATGAGGCCTCCTAATTATAAAAAAGGATGTAAGACTAATTACATGCTTATCTTGTAGGCAGGATATAAAGTTTAATGAGCTGTCATTTACGCCATATGCACGCAGGCCCATAAAAGCATGAGATGTTATTATTTGGATTATGCTCCCTAATTCTACCCTGCACAAAGCCATAAGAGCACTATTTTGGTTTTATCCTTCCCCATCACCATTGTTCGTATTTAAAAGTGTTCCAGCATTTACTGCTAATAGAGTCTTTACACCAATAACCTGTAACTAGATTTATAGGACACTGCCTTAGAGGATGCTCATATCTGGGGCTTGAAATTGAATTTCTTTCAGCACTTTTCCAGAATCACAGAAAATGATGATGCTCAGACTGTCATTTAATGATGAGGACAGAACTGAGGCCATACCAAGCTCTGCCACACGTGAAACACTACACATGCCACTGGAACCAAGGCCTCAGGCAGGCAGTGAGGAATCTTCTCCCCTTTCTCTGCCTTCATTCATCAGGAGACACTCGTGTTTGAGCTCCAAATGTGGGAGCAGAGCAGGGCAGCAGGACTGGAACAGCCATGGACATCTTCCAGCCCCATTTTCCTAGGATTGTGCATCCAAACTGCAGAAGGGTATCGCAGAATATCCTGGGCTGGAAAGGACCAAAAGCAATCATCGAGCCCAGCTCATGGCTCTGCACAGGACACCCCAGGAATCCCACCACATTCCTGAGAACATTTATCACTGAAGAGAAAAATAAGCAAACAAACGGCCCAGACATCCACATCCTCCTGCCTGTGGATAGTAACAGCTTGCATCCCTCTGTAATCCCTGCCATGCTTTGATTTATTGTTTTAAGCAGCTGGGTTGTCTCACTCCAAGTGAGACCCCGTGGAGGGATCCAGCAGCCCTGGACAGAACCATGGCCACTGTGAGCTCACCCCAGTGGCCACAGCCAGCCCTCCTCCGAGCCTCACACCTCCTTCCCACAGAGGAAAGCTGTGGCTGCCCTAATCCCACACTCCCACCCCTGAGCCGTCCTTGACCACACATTAACACATTCTCCCTCACTCGCCAACCCACATCCCACAGCTCACTCAGGGAACATCTGCAGAAAACTACGCCAGCATTAAAATAGAATTTTTTTAAAAGAGCAGTTTCTACCTAGATTAGGTGACTCTGGATCAAATTAGTGCTGGTGCAGTGGTGGGGGCTGCCACAGCCAAACAGGAGGAAGAGGGAGACTGCCAGAGGGCAGGGCTGGATGGGATTTTGGGCAGGAATTGTTCCCTGGCAGGGTGGGCAGAGAAGCTGGGGCTGCCCCTGGATCCCTGGCAGTGCCCAAGACCAGGCTGGACAGGGTTTGGGGCACCCTGAGGTAGTGGAAGGTGTCCCTGCCGTGGCAGGGGTTAGAACTGGGTGGTCTTTGAGGCCCTTTCCAACACAAACCAGGCTGGGATTCTCTGGCTGCAACGGCATCAGCTCAGACCAGCCCCAGCCCTCTCCTGCCACCAGCGTTATCTCTGGGTGGGTCACACAACCAGCTGGATTCAACCGGTTGCTTTGAAAAACAGCAATTGTTTCCAGAGTGAGCTTTCAGCTGGATCAGCTCCCTCATCTGAGCACAGCTTCTTCCCACCTCCGCATCCCTGCCCCATCCTCACGCCGGCTGCAGTTGTCACTGGATGCCCGTGACACATCCATTGCTAACACGGCAGGAGGAGCCCCTTCTCCTCCGGGAAAGCTTTCTGCCAGTTGAGCTTAGCAATTAGGGAAAGCTGGAGTGACAGCAGGAGCGGGAGGTGAGGAGCCAGCCCTGTCCCCCGTGTCAGCTCTCGGCATCTCACGGCTCCGTCTGGGCAGCTCGGAGCGGCAGAGCCCCGAGGAGAGGCTGGGTCCGGCCACAGGGACCTCAGTGGGGACATAAACCCCTCATCCCACCGCTCTCCTGCCCCGGGGAGCTGGGAGCCTCCCTCCAGCAGCTGCCCCGGTGCCAGCAGCATCCCCAGCGCTGGGAAAATGGGAGCCCATGGGGGGCACGGTGGGAAAGCACCCACTGCACCAGAGGCTTGGGCACTAATGCATTCCAGGACAGCCCAGGGGACAGCAGCAGGCATCCCGACTGCCAGAGTGCAGGAGCTACTCCTCGGAGCTGCCCTGAGGCAGCAGTGTTCAAGGTCTATTTATTATGTGGCTGTATATCACACTCACATCTTCCTTGCTCCCAGGACTCCTTTTATTGGGCCAGACACAGATGAGGCATTGTATATGGCAAAAATAAAACCACGCTGTTCCAGATAATACATTAGCCCATCATAATGAATCCCCTTGAATTCCCTGTTGTAAACCAAAGGGCATGGATTGACCTGTTGTACTGACAACCCTCCAAGAGATCTGATCCTTGACCTTGGACCTTTTGTTGGCTGTGAATACAACTCCAGGGCAGACACCAAGGGCTTCCCCCTCTCCCATGTTATCCTGGAAATATTCTTCTTTGACACTTCTCCATGTGACTGCAGCAAGCAGCCTCAGCGTGACAGTGCTCCCTCCACCGAGCGCTCACGAGCTTTCCACATAACATGATTTTAGATACATGTATTTTAGAGTGGAACAGTACTTCTCCTTACTGCGTTGCACCTCTCACAGTCACACATGAATTTCCGCCTACTCAATTCCTTTTTTCCCTTCTGCAGCTCACTTTTCTCCTTGCACTCATTCCTCCTGGCTCTCAGGCAGATTTGCAGGGGTGGGTGAGACGAGACAGGAGACGGGAGCAGCGATGACACAGCTCACTGTCTGCAGGGGGACAGATCCCCCCCAAAATGAAAAGCAAACTGGGCTGGGGTCTCTGCTCCCAAACCCTCTTCAGCTCCCAGCTCACACTCATTAAC